AACAAACATGGAGACCACAGATGCTTATGTGACCCTTAAGATACCTAGAATCAAGATTTTCCAAAGGAAAATTTGTAACGAGACAGACACCTAAATAACAGCAAGATGAACAACTTTGAGAAGCTCTCTAACTCTGAACGGTTTTCACTTTTCTCAAGATCTAGCCCCTTAGGTCAGTGCCTACACATGGCCCTAATTCTTCTAAAAATGTGGTCCAGACCATGTATGCTAAATTCCATTGAAATTTGGTCCTTGGTACGCATCTTCCCACACTACTGAAAATAATAGGTTTGTAGTATGAAAAAAAACTCAACCAAGTCCTTAACAAAGACAGTGGTGACTAAAAAACTTGGCCAAATTATTTTCCCAGGTATGTCTAAATCTGATCATCATCTTTACAGAAATAGGCAAGGAGAACCAATCAGGGTTCTTCAAATGGCTGATCTTCAGAACTCAGACCCAGCTAAAATGTTTTCATGCTCATATGTTGACATGAATCATAGAATCATAGAATAGTTAGGGTTGGAAGGGACCTCAAAGATCATCTAGTTCCAACCCCCCTGCCATGGGCAGGGAAACCCTCCACTACACCAGGTTGCCCAAAGCCTCATCCAACCTGGCCTTGAACACCTCCAGGGATGGGGCATCTACAACTTCTCTGGACAACCTGTTCCAGTGCCTCATCACCCTCAGAGTGGAAAATTTCTTCCTTATATCTAATCTAAATCTCCCCTCTTTCAGTTTAAATCCATTGCCCCTTGTCCTATCACTACACGCCCTTGTAAAATGAGGTTCTCTTGATCTGTATAGTGCCACGTTTGGTCATAATGTTGAAAAAAAACACCAATAATCATGTTGTCCTGTTTCATGCTAAGATGAAGAGGGAAGAAAGTTTGAACGTGGACACTCAAGACTTTTTGGGATGTTCTTCCAAGAGCAGATGTTTGCAGGAAGTCTGTATTACAACAGACTGCTATATTGCTTTGATAGGACACCAACTGTCCATACAGTAACACTACATGGGCAGATGTCATTATTCATCCAGCATGATCTTTCAGTATAGTTATGGGTATATTCAGCATTTGTATAACCGCCAGGTTAATCAGTCGTTGTCACTATTTGGTTAGCAGACAAACAATGTGGGAAATCTGAACCAGATCAGGCAATCAGGTCTCTTCTTTCCTAATGCTCGGGAAGCACTCAGGAATTATTTTTTCTCAGAAAAGAAACCACCAGAGATCATTCTATACTGAATTTGCTCAGACTTTGGGAAACATCTATTTCATAATAGGTATGTCCAAGATGACCGGTATCAGAAAAATCACTTCAGTTTAGTTTGTGTAAAACTTGTTACATGATATCTATGCTCACAGCTTTGAACGTTGATCTTCAAGGTGGAAGAATTTAACTCCCTCATCTGCTGAATCATATAGGAAAACATCATGTTCGTATATGGCACATAGCAGTACTTTTGATTCATTAGCCTTATTCAGCAAAACACAGTGGCAAGGCTATGGTTCAGTTTTGTTCATTTGAAACATAATCACCATGCTGCATCGCTCTAGAAGAACAAGACCATATTAAATTTACAGGGGAAAAAAACAACATAAGAAACTCACGTGCTAACCAAGAGGGATTTTACTGCAATGAAAGTGCATTTTAAAATGACCCTTCACACAATGTTTGGGACTGAATCTTCTCAGTAACAGGGGAAAGCTAAAAACTTCTTTTTCAGATGGCACTTGGATCATTAAACGTGGGTATCAGTGAACATCCAGGGCTGATATGATAACTCTTTATCAGAGGACAGGTTGAAGCATGCACCGTGTTAGTTCCAGCTTCTCCAACATGGCACCATCCATCCATTCCTTTCCTGATATCTAACAATGTAAGTATTAGTTTCCATTCTTATTGAGTCATTAGTCTCTCTGTGGATACTGGAAATAAAGGCAATCACGTATGGCTAATTGTGGTGGATATCAGCTGACAGAATCTGTATACTGCAGCGGGGACTAAAGGCAGGGAGAGAAACGGAGGGCTTCAGATCACGAATCCGTCGGTTGGAATCATCGGGGCGTTTCAAAATGAGAGATTACTTTTTCACTGACAAAGAGTATCTTTGCCACAGGAAAACAATCAGGTGTTAGCTGTTCTTCTATAAATACAGTGTGCATTTCATTTACAAAAAGAAAATCCAATTTTGATAACTAAGGATAAAAAAAGTACTTCCTGTTGATCTCACAATACACTACCAAAGTCATGCCCAGCCTTAAAATTCTCTAACGAAATAACAAAGACATGTTTATCACTATACAAACAAACAAGAAAAATTTCTTGGCTTTGTCTTCACTAGGATAACGTTGTGTACCAAATTCTGCTGGGAGTAACAAATCAAGCATTGTGTCAGGTTCTTTGATGTCCCCTGAAAACTACTGCTTTTAGTATACAAAGTCTGAAAGATGAGTGATAGGGAGGACAGAAAAAGAAGAGAAGAAGGAACGTTGTACTTTTCTGACCTTCGACTGTCTGATGACCAGAGGACAGAGGGATTGTAGGGAACACTACGGTTACACGTAATGTAGGGGAATGTCTGAAGTAATAAGAGTTCCTCCTTGAAAGCAACTGTTATGACTGCACATTCACTCATGCCACTTAAAGGTAGTTTTGGATCAGTTATTCATGACAAACATCATGAAGGTTTCTTCATGACTGAAGAAACAGTCATCACTGAGCTAAACTGGATTTGAACAGACTTTGGAAGGCACAATCCTTCTAGGCCAGCAGCTACACTAGATTCAGCTCCACCCGTGTTAGTGAGAGCCCATTCTGAGTACTGCATCATAAAGCCTTTCTCAAAGCACATCTAGCCTGACTCTTTCAAATGGCACCAGAAATCAGAGGCATGTCCAATTTCTATTAGACAGGTTGCACTGATAGCTAAAAATCACCATTAAGATATGAAGAAAGACAACTGTAAATTTTTTTCCAGCATATACATACCCTTAGAGATCAAGTCTGAAAGATCTGAAGGAGTCTACAGAGTTGGTTAATTTGAATCTCTCCTACTGACTGGCTGCCAAACTCTCCCTTTAATTCCAGACTAAATAACACGTAGCAAAACAACATAAGTGAATTTGGTCAATACTTTCTTTTCACTGTTCTCCTTCACGCAGGAACAAGAGGTCTTTGAGGTTTTCAAATTCTTCACAATCTAAACTCATCTTAAGGTCTGACTTATGAAGTCAGTCACATTTGCACAACGCTCACCTTTTTATAAGGATACTGTCATTGTGATAAAGCCTGTTCTAATCAGAATACTTCAGCCCACCACATGCAGAGATAGAGCCCAAAGCTGGTCTTGAAATGAAAGTAAATCATCCTCCCAACTTACTGCTGCACTGATGCATTATTTTAGGACTAGCTTGAATGACCACAAAAATAAGGAGAATTAGACCCAGACCTCTATTTTCTCATTGCCAGCTAGCTCAATCTTTGTTTTTCTTTTTTTTCCCCCCTCTTTCTTCCATATGTGTGTTCATGTGTGTTTGGCTATTATAAGCACTTTATCAATACTGCCATTGCTCCTCAAAATTCACTTCAGAAGGATGACTTTTACAGCTCCCATGATTCTTAAGCCGCCTACGGTATTTGTAACTCACAGCATCAGAAACTAACACACAGACAGTGTAGCTTTTCATACAAAGGCACAATAGGAATGAATGTATTAACCTCTGCGGTGCATGGAATGTGTCAGCTTACACACTGGCAGCTATTTCTGTGAAACTCAGCTAACTTCCGCTGGCTGTGTTAGAAAAAAAAAAAAAAATCTTCCCAGAACTATGTCCCACGCTCTCGTATGCTGGCCAAACAATTGAAATATCTGATGTTGCAGAGTCTACTTCATACTGATGCTGGCCAAACTGAGTTTGAGAATGCATTTTACATGTACTGTTTAGAAACGCTGAGCTTTTCCAAGCAGGTATAAAGCTCTGCCGTTCCATGTGACTTGGCAAGTAATAATGCGTGGGGCAACGAATTAGCAATGGAGAGTATGGGATTTTTTTGTTGTTGTTTCTACAAAAGAGTGTCAATCGGGATTTTGCAGAACTAGAAATGATTTGGAGCTTGATTTAATTTTAGTTCCCAAATTTACCCAGCTTCAACCTACCAGCAAAACATACATGGCAGGTAAGAAAATCCAAACTGTGGAGATGGACATCACATTTTCTTAATTCCCATGACTTGACAAGGGTTGTGGGGCTGATCAGGAATACCTGAGGAACATCTGTACTGCTGCCATTAAGACCCATGGACACCTCCTCCAAAATTTAGAATGATATTGGGAGTTTGGAATCAGATACATCTGGCTACCAGGCCAACTCTTTAACGTAGCTCAAAAAAAAGTCTTTAATATCTTTCCACCTGTTTTCTAATTGCCTCTGTTAAATTAGTATAATCGCTAATTATCTGCACTGCAGCAGTGCCTAAAATGTACTGGGTACCATAAAACACTGTAGGAGGGGCCAGTCGTTGCTCTGAAGAGCTTACAGCCTAAAAGGACATAATCACGTTAAGCGACTTTTAAGCAGTTTAAAAGTGCTTGTCAGGACAGAGCTTTTCTTCCCAGCAATGTGTCTGCTTCTGCTGGTTTACACCTCGCCAGCCTTTACAGCCTGCGTCAGAACTACCCGATGGAAAAGACAAGCAAACACACTGTTCCGCGGGAATCTAAAGCGCGAACCTAAACGTAGTTAAATTGAAAATAAAGACACAAAAACGCAACAAAAACTTCCCCCGAGGTGAAAAGAAAACGTATATATACGATTTGATGATTAAAGAAAACGTATAAATATGATTTGACGATTGTTCTGCTTTGGATGCAAATCTCAGGTGAAGAGATGAGACCGAGAATCCTGCTAATTGCATTGTGTTCCAACGGAAGAGAAAACTGCTTTTCGTCTTTACTTAACCTCTGCCTCTTCTGCATCGTTGTCACTTACCTGCAGTTGGAGTGGGCCTAAGCCCGGCGTTGCTGCGGCAGCAGCTG